CTGGTGCCTAGAGATGTCAACTTAAATTATAAAACCAATTTCAGAATTCTAACTACACGGCAACTGGGCTAAGCTAATACAATATCATTTAGCCCAATAGTTTATCATGCGGTTAGTTCCATAATACATGGTAAATTAATAGTGAATTTCAATAATTAGTTTTGTTAATTAATTTACAGTATTCCCTTTACCATCTCTATATCTCTTATAGATTGATATTTAACATAGTGATTTTAAATTGTTAAATCAGATGGCCAAAATTTATAAATTAAGTATTAGGGGAAAATTGCAGATACGACAAACTTATGTAATACTTTACTTATAATAGATATTAATTATCTCTTATAATTTAAATGTTATTACAATTAATCCAGCGCCTGAATATACCAACTGTCTTATAATATAAAGACACTTATCAACGTGTACAAATATACAAAATAAAATTTATTTAATTATTTTATGGTACATGTACATTAAAATTCTATGTTTAATGATTTTAAAAAAGTCGTTGCAACATGCTAGATTATAATTAACTAATTACGATCACATGCCCGGACAACAACTCTGTTTAAATAAGTTTATTTTAATACTGTTAACTAGACAAACGGTTTACTATATAAATAGCACAAAATATTAAAATTTTGATTAGATATTAAAAACTAAAGTAAAATTAGGTAGCAACTGTTACAAATCCACCATGTTGTTTAAACCGACAATATTTCTGGTCATTTTGGCATTGGCACTTGTCATATGTAATACAAATAAAAATATACAATTAAACTCTATTGACCTATATTGATTTATTTAAATTTTTAATATTATTTAAAATTAAGCCGATACGGTGTACGCACAAGAAACTACAACATGTTCAGATACTGGAAGTGCTGGAGCTGGTGTTAAGCATGGTCATGGTGGTAATAGTAAAAGTTCATCGGGTCACAGCATGACGGGTGCCGCTAAAAAACATAAATAGCATCTTATAAATATAAAAACAACTATATTTATCAATGATTATGACATTATTTTGACAAGTCTTAAAACTATTTTATGTAATTAATTAACCTATGTAATTTGTTATTGTGATTATTTCAAAAAATTAATAATGTATGATAACATTTTATTTTATTTTAACATAATTATTGTTTTAACAATAAAATAATTGCGATGTGAACAAATTAATATTTAAAATTATAATATCGTAAATATATTAGATCAATTTGTAATTTGGAAAAAAAATGATTTATCAATTGTTTTATCACAAAATAGTAAATTAAGTTTAAACAAGATAGATAAAATAAAATAAAGGGACTTATATTATATTATATTAATTAAATAGATTATTAAAAACAAATTTCATTTTTTAATTGAAAATTTGATTATTTTTATTGCATACAAAAATTACCATAATTTTAATTAATCAAAACATGTGTAAATACAATGTGAGAGACCTTGATAAAACAAAGATCATGTATCCTTAATGAGGTTTTATTAATACCAAATAGTAATTGTCACAATATAAGTATCTTTAATACTTTAATATGACCCGGGTTATAAAGTTAACCCTACTTCAGTATATGAGGCAAATGTCTAAATAATTAATTAAGAAATATTTATGTGTAATTCATATTTAACTTATTTAGTTTAACTGATTTTGGTAAAACTAACCACAATTCTATATAAAATAAAATGTCTATATTTTATAAAATCGTTTGGTTACCCCGTTACCATTATTTATTATAACAAGGTCAGACTGTAAAATTAAACAATACTATAAATACTACTGTAATATTAATGTAGTTAATTAAAAAACAAAAACGTATTAACAATGCACCAAAAGTGCGCTATCGTACTGTTTGCTATAGCTCTTACATTTACCATAGGTATTATTACTTATTTATATTATTTAACTATAACTATTTAAATTAATTTTTAATTTTTTTTAACTAGGATGTATAGTTGTAAATCAACCAACTATTGTTGTCACCGTGGTCAAAGAGAACAAATCAGACCATGATAATAAAACCGCAACTAAGACTGCAACTTCTGGGCGCGCGACAACTAAAAAGAGTTAATAATTTTATCACCATGTTATTTATTTATGTCGCATGTCGGTTACAAAATGTAGTGAATTGTTTGTGAAATCACATGTAATTATGTATACAGATAAAGTAACAAAAATAATAAATAAAAGTTTACTAATTATATGTAGATGACATATGTTTGTTGTGTAATTTTAAATCAATTAAGTGAAATATTAAAGTAATAAGATAGTTGATTACGGTTAGATGTACTCGTGTATGCATGATATTTTAAATATTTAAGATATAATTATATTTGTACCATAAATAATGAATTTATAACTTGTAACTAATCATTGTGCCTACTAATCCTTTTTCAAACTTGATATTGGTCGAAATATCATTTATTAATTTAATACTAGCAACACATTATTACTATCATTATTTTAATAACATGGATTAAGAAATAGATGTAATTAATTTAAATTAAATATAAATATCATTAAAATATTTATACAATTTGTTTAAACTGTAAGCAGTTTTAACTTGGTTAATTGAAAAGTTAATTATGATTTAATGAAAGAAAACAACCCTGTTTAAACAAATGTAATTTAAAATAACAATACGTAAATTACAGCATCCTATATAAATCAAAATTCACTTGTTCATTATTTTTAATATCACAACTCAAAATTTATAAAACATCATGCTTTTAAAAGCGACTATTTTTGTTGTCATTGTGGCATTGGCATTTGTAATTGGTAAGTATACATTTAAAACTTGCATAATTCATCTAATTTTCTAATATGACGTTAAACTTGAATTACCTAGCTGATGTAGCATGCGAGCAACCGACACCTACAACTCCTGCACCTAGCAGCAATCCAAAGGCTTCAGGTGCTAATGGTGGTGGTAAGAAAGAAGGTACCATGGGTATTAATAGAATGGCTGGTGGAGCTAAAAAGCATAAATAACATCTTGGTGGATATGTTTAATCAACGCTATGATATTATATTGATCATATATTTAATATGATTTATAAAATTTACATTATAATTTTTTGACAAATAAATCTATTTGTTATTATTATAGTTAAATAAAGTATTTTAATTAAATTTAAGTGATTAAACAAGTGATTTTATTTGGGACATTAACTTATAATCAAAATTTAAATTTATTATATTAGAAAAATGCTAATTTAATATTACAAACATAATCCTACTAATACTCATTATAACTGTAAGCAAGTTTTATTTTTGCAATTTTATATAGACTTATAAATATTTTATATAAATATTGGGAAGAAAGTGAACTAAGTATGAATTTAATAAGTATTATTTTACCGATACATATTAAGTCAAAACTATTAATATTACAATAAATTAACATAGGAATACAGCTTAAGTCAATAGATATACTTTAACTTGTGGTTATGCTGTCCTATGAACTATGTTAATCTAATAAAACTAATGTGAATCCTATGGCAATTGTAAATTTATGGCAATGATAAGTCTATGGAACTAATGCAACTCTTTTAAACAATGCTAAGTTTATAGATAAGAATATTCTAAATGACTAATAATAAGTCTACGGAATTCTTGGAGCATTACAACAATTGTGTTTAAGGTATAGCGTTTCGTGTGATCTGTGTTTATAATGGGGTGTCTGTTTAATAATCTCATAATAATTTATCACGATATAATTATATTATTATTTAAGCAATTGTTATATTGAATTAACCAATAATGTGCAATTGTACTGATTATAAGCTAATTTAATTTGTCAAATACGGTTTGCTGTTTAAACATGATAAATTTAATATAAATACATAAATATAACACATCACATTAAAAATTTAATTAATTTTACACAATTCAATTGGATACCTTTATAAACTATTATGTTTAAACCAACTATTTACTTGGTCATTTTCGCCCTGGCCTTTATAATAAGTATTTATTCATAAATTAATTTAATTTGTATTTTTAATAATTATGTTTTACCAAGCTGATAATGTCCAGGCTATGGCTATGAATAAGGCTGGTGGTACGGGCACTGATAAAGCAGCCGCTGGCAATGGTGCTGGTCAGGGGCCTAAACCGCAGGCAATGGGCAAAATGGCTGGTGGAAAACAAAAGCATTAATGTCTATTTGAATATTATATATTGATGATTTATTGTTTTAAATAAATGTTATAATTACATTTAATTTTATTAAATTTTGATTTATGTCATTTAAATAATAACTCATTATGTTGTTTACAGTATTATTTTGCACGCTTTCAAGGGGTGTATTGAATGTTTATTTATACAGGTAATTAAATAAATTTATTGTATAATTAAAAATCAATTATGCAAAGATTATAAAGTATTGTGTTTTAATTGAAAAAGTCATTTGGTGTGATCATTATGATTATAATGAATTCAAAGCTTATGATTATCATGATAGTTGTCACCATGATATTTGTGGCTGGTAATTTAATATAACTCATATATGAATTAAAATATATTCTACATGTTATATAAAATCTATCATTTATTTACATTTAGAAGCGACAAATCAAGGTGATTCGCAGAATGGTGGCAGTCATAATAATAACAATAATGTTAATGTTGTTAAGGTTAATACCAGTGGCAGTAATGGATCAGGCAAAGTTTTCAATAAAGATAAACTGCAAAATAAGAAAATGGCCGGTGCAGCTCATAAACATAAATAGCCACATGGATAATTATTAATAATTTTAATATTATTAATTAATAATTTGATTGTTTTATTTTTTAATTTAAATACAATTTATCGTAATGCATAAGTTCTAATTTAAATAATTAATCTTGATAATGATTACGAATATTAGTAATAAATGTTTTATATTTCAATATAAATGATTATGAACAAAACAGAATTAAATGTGCGGTTTATTTAAAATTAATTTTAAGTTAATATCATTATAAGATTTGATATAATTGAATTATATTTTTAGTGTTACTTAATTTATGATAAAAACATTTGATTACTTTTGCATAACAACAGTATTGCACTGTAAGAATTATATAAAGTATGCAAGAATTTATATTCGTGTTTCAATTTGTCGATTTAATAAATGTTGTAATAAATATCATGTTTAAATATATTTTATTTAATCACATGAGTACAAATAAACTAGTACATTTGTTTAGCATCAACAATTAAAATGTTCTTTTTAAACATGCTTTTATAACTGTACAAACATTAGGAAAATGATAAATATTAAAAAGTTCCGTACTCTGTATCTATTGTTACCATATAAAATTAATTACAAAATAAATACACGTAAATTATATATCAAATCAATTCACTCTTTATAATTATCATTTTGTATATTTTAAAAGAAATCAAGATATAAAATACTTTAGTCCAAATACTATAAGCAACCATGTATAACAAAACTACTATAATTCTTGTTGTATTGGTCATTGTTTTGAGTTTAGTATACAAGATTATGATTATTTATTTATTTAACAATATTAATTATTTTGTATTCTTATTATTACCATTATTAATGACATTATTTATAATTACAGCCGCTAATATTGGCGTGGATTGTATAGCAAATACCGGGACAAGTAATGTCGGTCAGAACGGCAATACTGGTAATACAGGTGGCGGTGCAGGTGCTGATGGACAGGGAGGCAAGAAGTTGAAATTTCAAAATCTAAAAATGGCCGGTGCTCACCAAAAACATTGATCCAACCTTAATTATTGTTATTTCAACCATAATTATTTTGTGATTAATGCTGATATTGACCTCGCTAAATTAATGATAGTCAACTATTTTGATTAATTTAATATTTCTGTTATTTTTAAAGGTTGTTATATTTTATGATTTGTTTTCAATTGATATGCCATTTAATTAAGCATGATAAATTGTTTGAATATGTTATGTAATTTATTAATTAAAGTTAATTAATGATTTATTAAAAATTTTTAATATTTTAATTTTAAATAATGTATAAATTNATATGTTATGTAATTTATTAATTAAAGTTAATTAATGATTTATTAAAAATTTTTAATATTTTAATTTTAAATAATGTATAAATTTATATTTAGAAAATAGTGGCAAGTAAACTAATTTTAAACAAAAACAAAATATGGTTTTATTTTACCTTGAGTACCAATATAAAAAGACTCCGAGTACATATTTACTAATTAATATTTGCAGATCGTGCATAAAGTTTTAATATAATAACAACAAATATAATCGATATTGATTCAAAACATACTTGTTAAAACATTTATTATTTAATATTGATAATAATAAAAGTTATTTAATAAAATAAATTGTGAAATATTCACAATTGTCAATTGCAATATATAGACATAGATCAATCAACGTCATTAATATCTAACCTAGATTTAAGTACATCAAACAGCTAGAATAGTTTATGCGTACTAAATAATCTATGTTTAACAATAAGACAACAAATGCAAAAATTTTACTATAAATACATGCTAAAAATCTAAAAATTCTATCAATAACTTTATAAGTTAAATTATTAGCATTTAGTAATAAACAATAATTATGTTGACTAAATCAATTGTAATGGTGCTTATCGTGATGCTTGTCATCAGTAGTATCGGTAATAAAATATTAGATTACTAATATACTTGATTGAAAATTTAACCTTACTAAATATTAATTAAATTAATTATTATTTTATAGTTGACGTAAGTGCTGAGGGCGGCGAGGGTGGTAGCGGTGGTGGTGGCAAAAAGGGTGGCCGAGGGGGCAAAGGGGGCGGCGGACACTCTGGTGGTGGTAAAAGGGGCGGCAAAGGTGGAAGTGGTGGCGGAAGTGGCGGTAGTGGCGGTAGTGGCGGTAGTGATGGGCAATAAACATTACCGTGATGCTTGTTTATGAAAGTTGTGTCATTTGATTATGAGACATGTTTAATGATTTTTTCAATTTATTCAATTTCAATTAAAATAAATATAAATTTATTATTATATTTGCAACTGATATTGTAATTATCTTACAATTGATTATATTATTCATATATTTTTATTCACATTATATCAACTTCATAAATATTAATTGGTAGTAATTTATTGTTAACTAGTCATGAAGATATAAAGTAAAAGCAAAAAGTAAAACTTTACATACATAGTAAAAATATGTATAAATAAAAATATAATTAATTTAATATTAATTTAATATATTATATTCTGTCGATACTTTAATAATTTTATTAGTCTAATTATTG